TCCCAGCGTCGAAACGGCGAACTTTTGGCAAAAAATTTCATTTTTCCTTAATTATTCCCAAACCGTTGGACATACGGAAAAACTGTATAGGATCTTTCTTGTAGAGGATGACGAGTTCTACAATTTCTGTATAAAAACTTTTTGCTAGCATTAATATTTAGCAAGTTATTGACGAAAAACCAAAAAACAGTTTTTTGCAAATTACTCGTTAACTATTGACGCTAGCAAGAAACTTTTATACAGAAATTGTAGATCTCATCGTCCTCTACAAGAAAGGTCCTATACAATTTTTCCGTATGTCCAACGGTTTGGGAGTTATTGGCCAAAAACAAAAATTTGGAAGAAAGTGAATGGGTACCCCCTTGGAGAAATCTCGGAAAAATCAAAAATTTTTGTTGTTGTTTATTATTAGCAACGTTCTTCCGACGTCTGATTTCTTTTTAAAAAATGCGTTTCTAAAGTACATAAACTTTTGGGATTGACTGTATAGCCAATACATCCTTAAGTATGAAATTCTCGTAGATATCGAAGTACGTCGAATACTGACCTGACAGGAATTGTGTGATGGTTTCCTCTGGGATGAAGACTCTCTCGATGAATTTGATGATAATTTTATAGGATGTAAAATCTGCAAAAATGATACAACACGTACGCACAGCGATAAGTTAGGAACATATTAAAAGGAGCTCGATTCATTATCAATTACAATTCTATGTACACAAGTCCGAAGAACCGAAGTCGATCTTCAAAAGTGACTTTTTAAAGAAGAACGTTAATTTTGGATCAGACAACGAACGTTTATCATCGAGCTTGGAATTAATTAATAAAGTTCTCACCTCTCCACTACTCCTATCATGGTTGGTCCTGTGTTCAGAATCTCTGCTCTCGCGGCTTCTCTTGTCTTTTGGGGATCGTGCACAATCTACACATATGCAAGCAAGCATGTTACAGCTGAAAATGTTAAGACACAACCCTGTTTTTATACTGGAGAAAGAAAGATTAAGACTTTAGGTCTCAAAGAAAGGATTTTGCCACAACACTATTCTGTAATAAACTTTAAGTGATGAAAAACTAAAATCATCTTTAGATAAGTAATGAAACTTCCTTTATTATTATTAACGTATCTTTAAATTTGGAACGTGTCCGGCTTCTTGTAAAATGCGATGAAAGTGCTAAGAATCTCATTAAAATACAGAAGTCAATTACCTGAATACTTGTCCCTAGAGGAGGATAACTTGTAGTCTCTATTTTCTCTCTCCTTCTTGTATAAGGGCTTGGATGCATAGCTACGGGGACTGTCTCTATCTGTTCCCATACCCATACCCAAGCCTCCTGCTGGACTGTAAGAGTTGCCATTTGGGGAGTCTCGCATACGTCCCTCGTAACGACTATCCGAGGATGTCGTCGATGAGGAGTAGCCACCCTTAGAATTGCTGTACTTTGTGTTCTACAAATGAAAAACAACATCACGTGGAAACTAAATACAGATTCTCTCCTCTTCTACCAATTGCTCTCTTCCGTACATTCCTCCCTGAAACATTCGTTTAACTGTTTCGTGTCTTTCAAGACTATAAGGAGTTTAAAATAAAGATCAACGAAGTCCAAACGACGTTCACAAAGAAGATACATAAAAATCAGATTTTACTACGTCGTAAGAGTCAATTGTTTATTATAATAAGCTTAACTTTTATATACAAAAACTGTAATACTATTACTTCGATTTTATACGAATCAGTACTTAAATACAAGTTCTATAATACGAACGAATACAAATTGAACCTATTCCTAACAAAACGCAATTGCTATAAAGAAAATTTTAATCACTGTACTATTAGTAATCTGTATAATACAGAAGAATGAATTATTGATTTTCCAGAAGTGAGGTTATGTTTACAAAATCAAATAAAAGTTGAATCTTTGTAAAAGAGAACAAAGCTATATTCGTAATTATTTCTATTTACAGGTTGTGGAACATAGATCACAGGGAATATAATGAAGGCTACAAGTGATCATTATATATCTCTAATATATGATATTAATCGGTGAATGAATACCTCAAGGACAATATCATTATTATTTAGAAAGAAATATCAATGCCTACACGTTAATAATCATTAAATTTTCGATGGAATCCAAAAATAATGAAAAAAAATAAATGCATTTTCTATAGAAAGGAACCTCGTTACGCGCACTTAACGTGCAAAATAGGATAATTCCATGTCCGTTATATTTATAACACGATATTTAGCATGTTTGAATTAATAAACAATGATCAAATTCACTTTTGCAATTTCAAACAGGTATCCAGCTTTCAATACGCGAAACTTATCGAATTTGTATAGACGAGGGAAACGATATATTATTCGCGACATTGATAATTTACGAATCATACCTGGAATCTCATTAAATAATTGCGGAAACGGAGTAACTGACACTCGATTATGGGAAATCTAATGCAAGAATACATATATCTATATATAACACCATATACGTCACTAACACATACACAAGTTGTGCTACACAACGAAAACAGCAAAATACGCGGGCAAATTATCAGATAAATGGTACGAACACCGAGGCGGACGAGAATATCGTTCGTTAATTAAATAGAACGAATTCTTAATAAACGTACCCCGTTAATCGCGATTCTCCGTAGGAGTTACGAAAAATGGAAAAAAAATTGTAACGCTGAAAACATGAAACGACTACTGACACGGTTGATCGCGGGTGAATTATATCGCGAGGGATAACGCGCAAACGATGAGACGAGGGAATATTGTTATTTCTAAACGAATACTGGAAATAATCGCCGTAAAACGCGTGTAATCGGGCCGTGGACGAATTACCCCACTACCGAAACCCCGACACCAATTACTCGGACGATATTTACCTGATAGGGATGGGCCTGGTGCTTTTCGAAGTACCTGAAATCATAGAGAGAGAACGGTGAATAAAACAGCTGGGAGGCGGCCGTTCCGCGATGGAAAACGAAATTTACATCGGGGAAAATCTGCCGTGAATGGCGGTGGTAGTGATGTCGAGTGGGTCGGATGGACGGACTTTGGAGATGAGAGGTGAGGCGAGTAGAGGTTGGTTGTGTCAGGATTGGGTATTTGACGGCGGTACCCTACCCATCGCTGATCCTTTGTGGTTTCCTCGCATGCATTACCATCAATGCCGGTGTCTGTGGGAAATTCGCGGCCTCGGATGTTCCCTTTTCGGTCGGTCAATGTCATAAAAACAACATTAACGCTTATTTAACAGTCAACTTTCTTTCTACCCGGACGCCATGTCACATACGTGATCGGCCGCTAGCGGTTATTACAGCCGAAAAGTTCGGCTAACGTCTGCGCCTCGGCGTGCGAGTCGTGCGACTTCTCTACCCAGGGCTGTAGACGAGCGTGTGCCAAAAGCCCGACCAATACGCACGTGTCACCGTGCTGACAAATTCGCAACAGTCTCGATTTAAGCGAACGAGCCATCCTTCGCCTTACCTAAACAAGATTTATACGAGTTTTCAAACGTAGTATGCTAATGGAAATGTTAAAACTTTCTAAGCTGACGGAATTTATCCATTTCATGAATACCATTGAATTCGATGGCCCTCGTCATTCTCATGGAGTAGAGACAGAAAGATCGACAGATCTGATTGTGACGAGCACGAAAATTGATTTTCTTTCAAAGAACGCACGAGGTACGGTGGTTCTCTGAGTGATGCGACCGTACCTGCGTCTCTAAATTCCGTGGCGACGCTCTTTTACGTTGGAATCACGCCGACGTCGATCCAGCAGCGACGCCAGGCGTCGTGTTTCACTTAGCTCGAAAAACTAAAACTCCAGAGTGCACCGACTACGCTGACGATTGGCCTGCGCAGGTCACGGTAAAATTATCGGTCGCATGCGGTTGTTCCCTTCGGCTGCTTAAAACTTAAGTGAAAAGTCCGTTCATTCACGACGTAACAAAATTCAACGATCAGTTAATCTGATTTCCGTCGTAGGTAAGAGCCGAGTATCTGTGCACGCAAAGATATGTACACGACGTAGTAGCGTGACTTGAAGCGTGGGTGCGTTTTTGATCTATGCGTCTGACGCTCACCACTTACAAAAACAAGTCCACGCCGTGAAAAAGATTGCTCGATCGCTGTTCGAAATTCTTTGTACGATAATATCAAGAGGCAGTAAATAGTAAGAGATCTGTGACCGCGTATTAATCATCACGCGTGCGAGTATTCTTTCGATAGCTCTTTGTCCAAATGGTGTGGCACATGTTTATAAAGTCTATCACCTACACTACGATTAATCTTGAAACTTCCAACTTAATTCTTTCTAGACTCGGTAAAAGCAATTTTTAGTATGCCTCATCCTACGCAAGACATGGACATCACCAGTTCTTTTGTTTCAAATCACAACTGCTTAAACAAGAGTCTATCACGTAATAAAAATTAATATGTAACACTGGCTTATTACTTTGAGTACCTTAATTCATTAATTGATGCATTTACAGCAGAAGTTTGCACAATGATAACAGCAACGGATGAGAGAGAAGAGACGGACAATTGTTCCGTTAACATCAAGCCATGCGAAAGCACATTCCCATGGCTGAACAAATTCAATAAAATGATGTGTTCATCCCTGGAGCATAAAAGCTATCAAATGTTGAGACATTTAATATCTCTTTATACACAGTACGATCTCTTCTTTATACTAAAGAGTGTCTCCACGTATAAATAGAATTGTTAATTGGAATTGTTTTTAACGTTTCAGATATATTTTGAGCAGCATAAACACGTACTGCGAGAAAACGATGGACATGTTGAAGTTAAAGAATCATTTAAGCAGTACATTAACATTCTTTCATCTATACTGACATAACATTAAAACGGTACTGTTGAAAAGCAATAGTTTGAAACACGGTGTAAATAAATTTTTAATAACGCAACTGATTCTTCTCGTAGCATGCCGATGACTGCAACTCATATCTAAACCAAATGTCAGTGCTATTGGGAATGTACGTAAACATGGAACTAAATACTTCTGAACACACCGTGGACTCTTCTAAAGTATCATCGAAACTTCTTTCCGCGCTATGGATATATTTAAGTAAGTTGAAGATAAACGTATAATCACGAGTAATGTAATATTGTGAAATATTTATCGTTCCAGGTCATTCGGAAAAACATATTTTCAGAGTGTTGCTTAAACTTGAGCCTGTAATTAAAAAGTATTCCGAAATTTGCGAGCCTATATTCAAGTACGTGCAGATTTAATGTTCTCTCACTTTTCATTAACGACGGACGTTTACAATAAATAATTTATTTCATTAGGGGAAGTTTTGCCAATTTAAAAGATAACACGGAGCCTTTAACAGACGTAGATTACGTCAGATACTTGCTTGCCTTAAAAATGTGGGGGAGAATGAGAGAGAGCGTAGAAGAGAAGAAAGAAGTGAATAAGATAGCACTGACAATATTAGGTCCGTACATTCCGAAGATGCGCGATGACATATTTAAAATTATACTTAAACCTCCACATGAGAACGAGACCATCTGGCTTTTACAATCGAACGTGTTCGATTTGAAAGCCGCGTGTAATAACTTTACAGCATTCGAAGAAGCGTCTATCGAATCGGAGGACCAGCATTCGAAAATTCCCGATGTGAAGTTGCAATCGTCACAGGTGAGTTTCTTGTTAATAAAATATCTGAGTTCCTCTTAACTGACAAATCTCGATTTTACAGTGTGCGTCATATGATGTTACAAAAAGTTTGACGAATTACGAATCGAAGAGAGACGAGAGCAGACGGATCAGATTAAAGAGATGTAAGAAGGTATCGAAATTGAAACCTAAAGAAATGATATTGATCGACTTGACTGAAGACGATGAATCAAAAATAGAGAAGAAGAAGAGCAAGAAAGGTAAGAGGACCTTGGAATGGTTAAAGATAACGAAGAAACAGCGTAAAAAGAAGAGTGACGAGGAACAATGTATGAATCAAGTGGAGATCGCTGATGCCCACAGTACGGAGAACGTTACCCGAAAAATTCTTCTGGAGAATCTACCGATTTCCGACAATAAAGTTAGCGAGAGCACAGAAACCTGTGCCGCGGTGGAGGACGAATCGATGCAAGACGATGCTCGTTGCAATTCGCAGAGTGTACACAATCATATTTTCAATAATAGAAATAGCGAGTCGAAATGTACAATTTATCATAAACAGTGTGATACGCGGCCGAAGGTGACAGACACGGAGCGTAACAAAATTGCATATTTATTGGAATTCTTAAGCGCCGTGGCGCAGAACATAAAAGAACCAAAGGCAATACTAAATCTACTGAGAGAGAGTATAGAGGAGAACCTGACATCTTCTCAGCACACTAACTTTTATAGAAACACAGAGAATAAAAATATTGAGCCAAAATGTTCCATAGAAACGTTGAAGGAGTGCCAAAATAATCTTACGAATGTACAATCTATAAAACCAGAGTTACCAGCAAACGGAGATTTTACGCTGACAGAGGAGTACAGTTATTGCCAAAACGATCCTGTTTACGCGAAAAGTGATTTTCAATCCGCGAACAGTCACGACACGCAAGCGACGGATATCGGGAAAGAGAAAGTTTATCGTGATGTTCACGAATATGCAGATTACTATAAGAAACACGAAATGAAACCCTTTTCCTACAATAATAATATATTTAATACAATAAGAAATGAGGATACAATGCAGAACGCGATAGATAACGACGCTAGTGATAAAAAGTTGATGTGCGATGATGATATGATGTGTATGTTGAGCGATCTTGACAAATGCATGGACGTCTTGAACCGCGTCGGTGAACATATTATGAACGTTCACGCGGCGAAGCAACGATTAGAATGCTTGGACAAAACGGACGCGTGTGCCGTTTCGACTACGGTGTCAGGTGACCAGGTAGCGGAATCCTCTTCGGATTGGCTACAAACGATCGGTTCGTTGAACGCAGAGAAGCTTGCCAGAATTCTCGAATCGTACGAGAAAGAGGATCTACCGCGTATATGCAGTTGTCAAGAGTTCACTAAGCAAGAGGCTTCTAACGTGATGTTCAGCCACGTAAAATGTGAGTCAGATAATTGTGAGAACGTCATGGTGTCGACGTCTCGATCGAACGAGTATCGTTCCTGCGGAAATGATATTGCTATTTTTCCTGAGAATAAATCACCCTCGAGCTTTACTCGTAGTCACGCGAAATCCGAATTTGAATATACTATTATAGACGAGGATAATGAAAGTTTCGAAGTTGTAAAGGATAAGGCGCAGAAACCGAGTCAATATGAAGTTAGCACGCGAACCAATAATCAAGTATACGATTCCGAAGGTTTTATATATGATCTGGAAGACAGCAAAGAGTCAAATCAAGATTGGGAAATTACGTTGCCGAATTTCTCGCAAAAGAGTAACGGGGCGAAGTCTCGTAGTCCCGTGAACGAATTAGATAACGATAACCTGAACAGCATTCTAAATCAGAGTATAACCATCGAAGATGAGCAAGAAATTTGGGATGAATCTCAATCTTTGCTAGTGTCACCGATGAGTTACGATGTATCAAGCACTGTACTGAACTGCATCACAGAAATCTTTTCACAATCGGAGAACCAACTTATTAGTGAGACGGAAGAAGAGTACGCGCTCTTGGACACGAAAAATTATCTAATGCCGTTGCCCGAAGGTAGCCTTGGCATAACCGGAATATTAAGTTCTTTGCATAATAACGATTTCATGTGCACGAATGTACAGCCGGTAAACACGCGGTTAAGTAAAAATATTTTTAAAGACGAAATCGACGATAACACCGAACCACAGACCGCGGAAGAGGCGCATACAGACGAATTAAAGAATAATATTTCGCCTTCGGAAAAGGAAAAGGCTACGTGTACGTCGAGAAACGCGGATAAGCAGCTGAATTGCGTGGATGTTCAACAGATGAGAAACGCGTCTCAACAGAAGAGACAAGTTTTAGTGAGCAACCAGGAAGATTACGGGATGGACACCGTCAGCACAGAAGATTTCGTAGTAGATGCTGAGTACATCGCGGAAGAGAATTCGGTGAACGCGAACGCATTGCGCGAGAAACCGCGTTCGTCGGGAAGCAAACTTTGTAACAGATTTTCGAAGAGACATAAGAAATTCGATGTCACCAAAGTGCGTCTTGCCACAGATAAATATGCAACTAAAGTTTCGAATAATATTCTTGTAAAACCTAGTGCTAATACACAGCCTTCCGAATTAACCGAGAAACAATTAATCGCAGCAGTGGAAGAAAATACGTCTCCGAAGAAAAGAAGATTGACCTCGAACCTTTCGTCGAGATTACAAAGAAATACAGTTTGTAAAATACCTATGAATCAGCAAAAGTTGAAGAAGCGTAGCGTCCCGACGAAGAAAGGTAACATTTATTTCATTCTTAATATTCAATTCTATTTCGGAAGCAAATCGGTGATTTCTCAAAACGAGTATAATTCGCGATTAAATAGTGGCATCGGAAATATAATTCTCGTGTTCGATTCTGTCTACACTGAAGATCATCAATGGAAGATATTTTAATTTTCGCGATCGTGTGATCCATTCGCCTTTCGTTAATACGCTTAAAGGATTAGATTACAAAATATTCTATGATTGAATCGAAGGTAAGTATTTATTTTACTTGTATCTTAACAATACTTGTTCACGTTCGTTTGTGTTTTTGATTTCAGGTTGGATAAATATGTGGCACCGCGAGTCACAATGTCTTTAGGATCCCACTGTTGCCGAAAATTCATTTTCGATAACCAGATTTATTTATTTATATGTACACGTTGTTTTTGATGAATCTACGATGTCCAATCAACTTTTCTACAGTTTCAATCTTTTTAACTGACTGCCGAAGATCGGGTAGCGTTATCAGAAGTATACCCTTGGGTAGGGAAAAGATATCGCCACACATGTCTTCCCACAATTGCCTACCTCCTGTATTGTGAACCATATTATTATATTACTCGTCCTCCTATTGTTACCCCTTACGTTGTCATTTTTCCACCACTTCTAATAACGCTACTCTCAAGTTTTCGGGAGAGCAGACAATTGAGCTATATCGATCAACGTCCAAGACGAGCGGCAGTTTTCTGAATCTCGGAACTCATAAGTTCTAAGGCAACTCCGAAAAAACGAAAGAACTTTTACATCTCAGTTTTCCCTTAATACCTAACGCTTGACTCGAAAGTTGAGGACGCGACACACTTGACAAGATATTACCGTAGTACGTACAAATAAACAGGAAGATATAGTAGGTGAGTAGATCGAAACAATGTTTGTAAAATAAGCCTTATCATTCCCTAGTATAATGAAATAGTTCCGAGCGTAATCCGCAGACAAATCTCTATGAAATTTACCGAGTTAATAAGCCGAAGAACTAACAGATAATATTATTTTAATGTATGCTAAATATCTGTTTGCGTGAAACATTATTACTTTAGTTATTACTTAACGATCGGAAAATATAATTGTCGAAGAGAGTTATATGATCTTACTTTATTTTAATAGAAGCCATAAGACAAACATGCAATTTACCCGACTACGATTTTAAGTACAAATTATTTGACTGTATTTATAGTATTAATTAAACGAACGATATATTGTTAGACTTTTCTTCGACGTATAAGTTATTAGGCTCTAATCAAAATTTTTACGAATACCATTTTCAGTAGTTTATCATTATTATTCATTAATCATATCGAGGCTACATCTCTTATCCGTTATATATTAATATTTCTTAAGTCCTACAAGTATTTCTCTTGAATTTAATATACACGTACATAGTAAACAGTGGATAAAATATATGAAACTGCCAAAAGTTACAAAACAATACTGTATAGTCATAGATTTTACTGAACCTCTCCACAAACGGATAGTATAAACATGTTACGATATGAATTATTTAATTTTGCAACGTTTGCTCGAAGGCTATTCGCTGAGATCGTTAACTGGAGTTCAACGATCGACAGAGCAATTACTGTCAGGCAATATCGGAATGTGATAACTCAATTTTTATTTCAGTTGACTTTACGTGATACTTATTTACATGAAATTACATCCATCCTGGTTTTTAGAATCGTTTCTTGCAGCTCGTAACTATATAGTACAATTTATGTGAAATTTATTTTTGCCAATGATGCCAAAATATGATAATATTCACAGCAGATTTAAATGTACAATAACAAATAATTGTCTATCTATTATTCTGCTTCTTCCTTCTTTACAGTGAGAAAGTACAAAAAGTATTTGATTGAATTACGTTAGTTTAACAGTAGTCGACACTTCGATCATTAGCAGCGACTATAGGAGATGGAAGAAGAATACATATATTATATTTCGTAAAAATTAATAATGCAAAACTATACAGTAATTTTTGTAGTACATGAAAGTTACACATATAAGCAATGCAACAACCGAGCGATGCTAGTATAACATTTATCGTCCTAACTATTTTTTAGAGAAAGAGGACGTTCTTTACTGATTTATTTCTTATCTAGTTCGTTGTATTAGCAATCAGTTTACTGTAATGAACTGTGTAGTCATTTTAGTTAATTAGTATTTCAAGTCAACTGCAGTCGTTCTAAATGAGATAATAAAATCACGAAACGAGATCGTTACTTTTGTACTGCACGCTTCGAAGCAATTAGATTTGTGTACTTTTAAGATTTAACGACAGATCTCTAAAGCGTAGCATTAATCGTACAAAATTGAACAGAGAAGGTCTGCCTTCCCTTAAACAAAGGATGATAGACGATGGCACATTATATATATATACAACTCATCATCAAAAATTATATTCCTCTTTTGATATCAGAGAGTTGAATTTAACGAACGCAGCGTATGAAGCATTCCTTGTTTCGTTGCCTGAAAGAGTGAGTAGGATGAGACAAGGGTATGCACACTCGTGTGGCACAAAGGAGAATTTATTTATAAATTCATTAAATGTAATCTGATGTGTGGAAATTAGGTACATCTCTTCGTAGTCACATTCCTAGAGTTACCATTGTTAACAAATTATGAAAAATTCATATAAACGCTTTTGATTGCATGACTAATAATTTATTTGACGTAGCGTTCACGTTTATACTTCGTCCAAGTTTAATGAGGATCAAAACAATGAACGTGTACACTGATAGATAATTCGCTTCGACTTGTGGAAAAGTTTGACGTTCGATTAAAATTAACGAGACAACGCGGCGTTCATTCGTTTCATAGGCATCTGTCGCGTACACAGATTTGTACTTTTACCATTGCCTTACCTGAGGTTTACTAGCATAGGTATCTAATGAAACAGCATACACAATGTAAACGTTTAGGGAGATCGTAATTAATGTAAAATGGATAGAATCGTAAGCAAAGAACGAACATGTCTGTTCTATCGTTTAGAATAGCGTACCGTATGTTAATCACCTAATAAGTTAAACGATAGTAAAAGTATTTTCACTATTGATGTGTTTATTTTAAGATTTACGAAACGAAGCGATATAATTTTGCCGATAAACTGAAAACGTTTCTCGCTACATTCGATTTTCGATTTTCTAGAATGAATATATATATATATTTTGAATATATATATATGATCCAAAGATCGAAAGTATCCCGACACGAATCCAAAAATCGCGTGCCATTATCAAACTCAGTGTAACATGATTGATGTACATATTTTTACTTTTACATTTTATAAACACGTCGGTCGAACTTAATTACTTTGTATAATTTAGCTTACAATTAAAATATCAAATTGTATTAGATCGTCTACAATGTACAATGCAGAGACTGAGAACAAGAGAATAAAGAATACCTTTTAAATATACGTCCAATGTTAATTCATTTCCCATCCATCGTGTATCATCGACGTTCGATACTCGTGAAGTATCGATAGACACTTAAAGCTAAAGTATTTACAACTATTTTACGCTCAGATTTGTACTTTTACCATTGCCTTACCTGAGGTTTACTAGCATAGGTATCTAATGAAACAGCATACACAATGTAAACGTTTAGGGAGATCGTAATTAATGTAAAATGGATAGAATCGTAAGCAAAGAACGAACATGTCTGTTCTATCGTTTAGAATAGCGTACCGTATGTTAATCACCTAATAAGTTAAACGATAGTAAAAGTATTTTCACTATTGATGTGTTTATTTTAAGATTTACGAAACGAAGCGATATAATTTTGCCGATAAACTGAAAACGTTTCTCGCTACATTCGATTTTCGATTTTCTAGAATGAATATATATATATATTTTGAATATATATATATGATCCAAAGATCGAAAGTATCCCGACACGAATCCAAAAATCGCGTGCCATTATCAAACTCAGTGTAACATGATTGATGTACATATTTTTACTTTTACATTTTATAAACACGTCGGTCGAACTTAATTACTTTGTATAATTTAGCTTACAATTAAAATATCAAATTGTATTAGATCGTCTACAATGTACAATGCAGAGACTGAGAACAAGAGAATAAAGAATACCTTTTAAATATACGTCCAATGTTAATTCATTTCCCATCCATCGTGTATCATCGACGTTCGATACTCGTGAAGTATCGATAGACACTTAAAGCTAAAGTATTTACAACTATTTTACGCAAGAGTCATTAATTTCATACAGTATATATATAGTCTTCAGACCTAAAATAATTTCAATCTCCATTTCGATTTAAAAGACTAGTTAAAAATATTCTTCGATGCGCGAGATACTACGGTTCATCGAGTTTCCACATCACTTAAAGTTAAAGATATTATTTATCATTCTCTCGATGTCTACTCGGTGCTCATCTCTCATGAGTTTTAGCAAATTATCGTACACCGTGGGGAATGAACTACACTCTGCTTGTGGGATTTAAAAAAAAAAAGGATGAATATAAAATAAGTATATTAAAAATGCGTTTTACTGAATACACATGGTGAACGTACATATCGATTACCATAAATGAAATAAAATTGTCACGAGGACACTATTTAACTGACTTAAACCGAAGGTCGATTAAATTGTAATAAACGATATGAAAGGAATATTTAAATGATTACCCTGTTACGAACTACGTCTGGCCCTAATCGTAAACGTAAAAGATTTACGCTGAGGACGCAAACATGAGGTAAATGTGTTTGCTTGCAATATCGTTTCTCTGAACGGACCTAATCTACGCGCGTATAACGCGTGTAATATACAAGTATATGTAAATACATCGTCTTTATTCGTTATCATGATAGAATGGTTCTACACATACACAGTACTCGGTATCGATTCTTTCTTTATGAACACGGATGAATGAGGCATCTGATTTAATCTATCACTACTCTAAATTATACTCTAGGATATCAGACTTTCCATAAAAAATGTTTCACGCATAGGATATAATTTCCGTTTGTAAGTAACGATCTGTTCTTGCACCTGCACGGAGACATTTGGCAATCGTTCGATCACATAATTTCGGTGATAAAAACTAAACAATAAATTCGTTTGTTTAAGTCAACTTAAAAACTATCAGACTTTCTCGATCATCTATAAATAAATGGTAACGATAAAAAAAGAAATAAATTCGAATTAATACAAATGTCCTTTCGTTCTAACGCGATACCAACTCATAAGTCCTGCGATCATTCCTCAATTTGATTACGATCGCTTTTCTCATAAGGAACAAACGGTCCGTTTGTCAATGTCAAACGAAAATTATTGACGTAGAAGTATTCGACTACACACATATTTCTCGTATACAATAAAATGTTGTTATCGTTAGTTCAGCATTGATTAACTAATAATCACAGATACAAATATCAAACGTAAAGATACATGGCACTGAATTATGCAAAATGCGGTTTATGCGTATTCCGGAACCAAATACATACAACTCCCCTCGATAGAATTATCGCTTTCTAATGGTCGGCCTAATTTCTAGTTACGCTTAAGTAATTCGTAGGAGGGTCCTTTTCATTTTTAATTGTTATATTACATTCTTCGATCAAGAATTTGTACAGCGAGATATATATATATATACTTTTTCGTCGAGACTATGAAAAAAATAAAAGTATATCGAATTTTTAAAGCACAAATCATTTAAAGGCCTTAGGAATTTGGGTGTCGTATCAAATTAGTTTTCCCCGCGACGAAGCTCCATCGTTTCGATGAGTATACAAAGTCTACGTAATTTCGCTTAACGCGAGACGTTCTCATCTTTTCTGAAATCGTTGGAATACACATTATTTGGCCGTAGTCGATATTATTCTGGTTTCGTGTAAGGTAAGAAGGGTTTGAATTTGTAGGGTGACGCGACTATTTATCCTACTTGCGCTGCGATATCTACGTGTATTATTTATAACAATGCTGCTATATTTATTATGTCGGGTTCAACAGTTTCATGGGGGATTGATATTTCTTATTATACTTTTCGGTGGTGCGGTTATACTATATTGTTTGGCAAATTTATTGACATCACATTTTTTCGAGCCAAGCGTTCCCTCCAAGGTGTGCGATACACGTATGGAAATAATTCATCTGGAAAGTGTCAAGCATTATTTAACTTACCAACTATCACTATCTATCTATGCAATTTATATACAGGCACGAACGATCTTTTATAATTACAACAGCTCTTATTGCTAGTCTTACCTGTTTGTTTTTACGAAATTCAAGTTTATCCTCAACCTAGCATCCCGGATGTCTACGTTTAAATAATTTTATTTAAATAAACTGAAACGTGTAACAGAATCATTAGAAACCGCTGTAACAATTGAGAGAGAGCTTCAACTGATTTTTTTTTCAGTTTCATAAATGATCTTACCTCTAGTAAAAAATCCAAGCACTCGCGTCCAATCCCACATCGTATTTACATAATTATATACAAAACTATTTTATTCGAATATATATAATATGTATAAAATGTTTCAATTACTCTATAGAAGACGAGATTCTTTTTTAAACGATCAACTTAGTTCAGTTCAAATTCGCTAGGGACTACGTCGAAATTAATCAGTCGCGGAAAATTGATGATACGCGATAATACTGTACAGCTTTTATACGAAAAGAAGTCGCATACTCTAAACGATTACTAACAGTTTTGTACGAAACCGCCGGTGGTCAACAGAAATAGATACAGGTACAATCTACAAAGTCTAAATTCATCTTCCGCATCGTCTCGCGCAACAGGTATACGATTCATAAAAAATCTTATCTTCGCGGTGATCTTCGGGCTTGTACTGTACACGCTGTGAAATATCTTCCAAAGACGATTTATCTTCATGTTTGTACATTATATACAAAATTTCTCGGCGACACAGTCTTATAGGAGCGAATGTACACGTTAGATTTTCAGAAGAGAACGAGAGAGAGAAAGAGAGAGAGAGGAAGAAAAATAATGTTCTCACGATGGGGAATTTTCGTAATCAGACGGTGACGATCATCGATTAGTCTTTTTGCGTTTGCGTTTCGACTCACCGGACGGATTCCACTCTGGATCAACATCGGTGTAAGAATAATTTACTTTAGGAACGTTTCTTTTTGAGCTTCTCGTTTGTTTCGACGACGATTGCGTTTTCTTCGCTTTTTTGTACGTTCCTTCCGGTTCCATGTCGTACCCGTTCAACGAGGCTATGCCCAGATCGACGTCCTTCCGTTGAGCTCCGCTTTTAATCGTCCTCTGAACACAAGGCTTCTTCCTCGAGCCGTTCTTCGCGAGATTTTGATGCGAGGCGGCCAAGTGAACGTCTTTGTAATAATTCCTCCTCATCAAACTTGAATTGTAATGATAACCATTATGCGGTTCTTCCTTATGGATTTCGTACTCGGATTTGACTATCTGGCCCGACCTCTTCTGCGCGTCCAACGTGTCCAACTCAGCTATCGACATCATCGGGATAGCGGGATAATTTAGCGGGTTCAACTTCTCCGATTTAATTGGTACCTCCCTATAGGCCATCGCGTGCGCCTTCAGCCTCTTCTTCAACGGCAACTTGCTCTCTGCGTATGTATTAAATATCTTCTCCGAGTCGTCCTGCGCCTCCGACGAGTTACTCTGCAGCAGACTGCCACGCATAACTTGGTCGTCGTACAGCTTTCCAATTACGGGATCGTTGTTTGCTCTGTCGTGCTCCTGGACGGCGTCGGTTTGTACTGACGAGTGCGTCGGCAAAAAATACGGGTTACTTTCGATGCAGGACACGCGAGCGTCTGCGGGCGAGTGCATACATTGTCTGCAATGCGCGACCGTATCGTAAGGGCAGTTCAAACACGAGCAACGAGTCCTGTCGCTGCCCGACTTCCCGTGCGAGCGAAGAGAGGTGTTCGCCTTCATTTGCAAACTGCACGACACAGGACCGCAGTGCTTGTGATACGGCACGCAGAGGTCACCGTTCCCGCCGCAATTTCCGTAGATCGGCGGCAAACTCGTCGCCGGTATCAGCAACGTGTGTTGACCGTCGATCTCGTGCGGATGAATCGTTTTGCATCCTGGGATCGCGCAGCTCGACGCGATGTGATTCGGAATGTTATTGAACTCCTGTTTGATATTCTGCCGGAACGCTTTCCTGTTGTCGATCGATTTTCCCGTGTCTTGATAGATCGACGAGTTCAGAACGTCGGTGGACAAGAGGACGTTCTTCGTGTACGCCTTCGCGTTGGAAAAATTCCCGTCTTCCGGCTCCACCTTGATCATCCCTTTACCGTGCACCACCGAACACTTGCCCTCTTGATACGGCGGCTCTTTGCTGTACGCCGTCAATTCCAAATTGTACGATATATTATCAAGGACCGTCTCTAACTCGTCGAGCGACGCCCAATTCTTTGATCTCGCGATCTCGTCGTCGCCGTCTTTCGAATTTTCAACGGCCTTGTTTATAATGTACAGATTACTATTAGGCGACTTCTGCAAAAGAACCACGGTCTCACCGTTCAATATCACGTTCGTGTTTTCCTTCACGGTCTGCGGGCTGTTTTCCGTTGGGGCCAAATTATCCGACAGCGTGTCCGCGTCGTAATTCACGCCGGTTGTTTCCGGATGAGAGACGACTTCGCACGACTCGCCGTTCCCATCGTCCGCTTTGTCGGACGTGACCTCCTCCACACGAACCGTGACTTTTTCCAACGCGTTTTCCGGATAGACGCCGACGATCCTGTTGATCACCTCCGCGGATGGATTCTCGAGCAATCGGGAAACAGTGTTCGACGAGTCGTTCGTGTCTGCCTCGTCGTCGGTCATCTGACTGCAACATGTGTACCTCAGCGTCGCGTAATCCTTCACTTTTATTTGATCGCATTTCGTCTCGGTCTCCGGTTTCATATGCGACACGTGCTGCGAAACGCTGGCTAACAACGAGAGGCCGTCGATATTGTCTTGCAGCTCGAAATCTTCGACCATGTATTTATTCTCCGTTAGTTTGCACATGCCATCGCCGCCGTTTGATTCCGACGGCACCCGCGATGGCTCGCAAGCAAAATTACTATCGTACTTGTCTACCGTATCACTCATGGGCTTCTTAAAGTTCTCGTTATTTTTAATACTTTCGCTCGGGCACGTCTTATTAACCGTATTAGAAATATCTCTCTCATCCGTAGAATAAGATTCGAAAATAGATTCTCTAATGTTAGCGATCCTTGATTTATTTTTTGTTGCGCTGTCGCTCGTCTCATTGTAATCGCAAACGTCTAATCCCGTCCGCGCGCAGAGTTCGCGTTTCGCGTCGTTCGTACATTCTGTTCGCGGTGTGAATACCTTCTTCTCCTCCTCCGTCGAATTTTCGTCGAGCGAGTCTCGGTTATTTTCGTAATGTAAAATACCTTCCACGGAGGAAGTACGTGCGCTGGTTGCCTCGGTGAAGATCATTTCTTTACTTTTATCATTGTCAACTGTAACGTTGGAGCAATCGGATCTATAAGTCGTTTCATCGAAACGAATATTCGACGCTTCGGAGGCCGAGACGACCGAATCGCGCACCTCGTTCGTTCCCGACGTCGACGTCGTCGTCGATCTCCCGACTTCATCGTCAATAGGTCGATCGAGGTTCGAACGATCATCTTTTGAATCGCACTCAGCATACGTCGTAGCATTATTTACAGCCGGCCGTTCTGCTTTCGAATCACAGCCATTTTTGAAACTTTCAGCTTTCTTCTCGCTTCGTGTGTCAGGCTCCGAGTAGACTCTCGTTTCTATCAGTCGCTTGATCACAGTTCGTTCGTTAAATATATCATTCTCCTTCTCGTCGATCGTTCGCTTATTCCCCGAGATATCCCCGTTGCTCAAACAATTTTCGATTACCGTGCCCGTAACTCTCGATGGTTGTCTCGTTACTATCTCGGTTAAAACCGCCTTACCGTTCACCGTGGCCGATTTAATATTTATTTCGTTAGTATTGACTTTCGCGCCCATCAACTTTCTCGTCTCCTCTGTGCCGAACTCGTAGTCCATTTTATTTTCATCGTTCCTGTTGACGAGTATCGTCTCCTTCCTCTCACCGACGAACTCCGCGGCGTGTATCGCCAACGGACAATCTTCCGCCTGACGATCGACGCCCTTCGACGCACCGGCGTTCTCTTCCTCAATTTGCTTAATCTTCCTAGACGCTCTCGCTATCTTCGAGCTGGCTCTCTTCTTCGCCTCTTCCAACCACGTCAACTTTCTAGATTTCCTCTTTTTTATACACTTCTCGAACACTACATCGCTAGTTAAATCGATAATAACGACCTCGTTGGACTTTCTACGTTTCATTTGCAACCGACTCTGATTTGATTTGCTCGTTTTAGGACTGACGCGCTCCGTGGAAATATTATTCGAAAAGTTACCTAGACTTTTAAAATTATTCTGCTCCTCGAAATGTACAGTTTTAAAAGTTTTTACCAAACAAATAGATTCATTCTGCTTAGCTTTATCTGATATAATTGAGTTCACGTTATTATCTAAGCGTTCTACGTTCTTACTCGCGATATCTTCCAGCTGGTGTGCATAAACACGTAAGCATTATTAATCCAGTCACTAATAGGGTTACATAACGTTGTTTTTTTGTTCGAGGGTCAACGAATAGATTCAACTCTGGTCTCTAGTCGAATGACAGGCTCTACAGTTTAGTTTAAAGAACAGTGATTCTCGAATATCTTTACCAGCACAGAATAAACTGCTTAACGTTAAGGATCAAGGGTACGTTTATTGAGTATAAAAGATGTATGCGAAGGTACAAAAATATTGTAGAGGTAAATACCATTTTCGGATTAATTCTACTGGACGAATCAACGGGAATCGAAGTTCCGTCCTTCCTCTGGTTAACGTTCCTCCCATCGCTATCCCCGCAGTATTGTACAAACGTCTCGCAACGCTTCTTTATATCGAATTTCTGTTGCAGTAGAGCTTTCGTGAAATTTGGTTGACTCTTTGGCACTTTTGGCAATACATCCTTTAATATACTCGACGTGAACGTTGGCGGCAGTGGCCCTAAAGACTCGATCGCCGCGGCCGTGATTTCGCTTTTTGCGGCCGCGTTTTCGTTTATTTTCCGCCATAAGCGGTAAATGAAAAAGTAACGAACGTACATGATATCGGATTCCGGATGCGTTGGAACATTTTTCATTATTTTCCTAAACGGGATGAGACATTAACACGTGAAAAATTCAACGGCTCAACGTATTGAAAATCCATGCTCGATACACGAGATCCATCGTTTATTTCTACATCTACTAATTATACTCACGTTATAACTGGGTCTAAAATGTGATGGTAATTGCGGCACATAAATTGGATTTTCATTAAAGTATCTAATAAATGTTCGATGGAATGTTCTGAAAGAAACACATTCCGTTTTATAACGTCCTAAAGCCTACTGCATGCTCTCATTGATAAAAAAAAAAAGGAGATGGGAACGATTCGATCGTACCTAAGTAAACGTAAAGGCAGGAGGTGAGCCTGGCACAAATTTCATTGTGACCCTCTGTGCTCTTTTTCGACACTTTTAATTCCATATCTATGTAGAGCGCTAACAAGTTCGACATATTGTTCAAATAAGTGGATCTGTCGCGATCCTAAAAGGTGAACTTCAGTTATATCACACGTTACCACGGAGCGGTGTACGATATAAAAAGACCGTCTGGAGAGACGGCTTACCTCGGAAAGGTCGCGATAAATATATAAGAATAACATTAAGGTTTCACTAATAGAATCTTTCAATTTTGCAGCTCTTAAGGGCCTCGTGTAACACTCGTTTATACTGACACTCACATTTCTGTAAGAAATCGTTCATTGATGCACCTTTCGTTTTATTGGAAAAAACAAAACACAAAGCCATAAATAGAATTCACAACATGCAGTTCCCTTCTACGTTAGCTCAGATCATTAGTTTCCAATATACAACAATTTGTTCGTCATTTTCTTATCTTCCTTGTTACACTAACAGGTCTCGCAATGATTAGACAGCGGATTTTTATATAGAATAGATTTACGATGGTCATTTAAGAAAAATCAGATTTACATTTCTCTTATCTCTTAAACAAGCTGTATCTTTGCTCAATTACTCATGCATAAAATCCGCAGTCTATAAATGACTTTGGACAAAAGTTGTACCCGTCGAATTAAAACAAGCTACTAGCCTCGTACACTCTCGCGGTCTATATTAACTGCGCTGCGTTAAAGCAACGATTCTATCATTTCTCTATCGGTAAAAAGAAGGCATGCTGGGTCGTTAGCTTTCATGTATCAGAGAATTACTATGTCTATTCTGAAACCAGTCCTCAGCAATAGATGTTTACTGGTGACCCGAAGGTAGCATTGACACAAATCGACAGCGATACTGATAAATGAATTACCTCACGTAAAATTGCATGAGCTCCGTTAAGGACGTCATACTTTTATCGATATGCGCGCATCTGCACATTCTTTTAAAATCTAACATCCAAGGAAACAACTCGGTGCTCGACGACGACGACGGTTTCGATTCGTCGTTACTCGGTTTTAGCCTCCCATCGTTCTTGATCATTTCCCTTCTGTTATCTACATTTGTAAAACGAGGTTCGTTGTGGGATTTTATCACGAACGAAATTGGGATTGTAAGAGTTAAACGAGATTAGGTAGTTCGTCTCAGGCGAATGAAAAGATTATTACAAGTCATGCAACAATGAGAATTTCCAACTCGTTTAGACGTCTGCAGGGGAATAGAAGTTTCGTCCCTGACGAAACTGTTTTATGCCTGGCAATAATTGAAAATTTAGAACGCGTCTCACGCATCTGCCGCGAGCAGATGTCGAAGCTTTAAAAGCACTCGGCAAAGTAAATATATGTTACGGCTACAATTCACTTATGTGACATAATAGCCGCACGCTAGACACACCTTTCCGAATTACATTTTACCTCGCACGCACAACGAAATTTTTTATGTGCATTTCATATGTGAGAAGAAATATTATACCCTCGACGATATCACTGTTACGCGTCGCGAGCTTATTAAAAATTCATAGATACGTCTCATATACGTTTCATATACGATTCAGCGTCGTGCGTGAAATATTACTCGCTAATTAATGCCTTCAAATAACGCGAATCAAGGCCAATGGTATCAATAAAAATCGATTGGCGGACGGTATAAATAGGTAGCGATTACGTGAAACATTTTTCCCACGCTTTGCGAGCTTCATATACTATTCAAAAACATATATAAATCCAGTTATATCATCTGTTCCATCGCGTATAAATAAAGAATGAGGAGAAACGAAATCGGGATGAATGAAAGGATGAAAATTTGGAGGAGGTCGAAGTGCACTCGACGGATCTGTACCTCTTTGTTAGAGCACGCATCGTTCCACGTCTCATGAGTCCGAGTCCATAGAAAAAGAGATCACCGAGAGATGTGTCTACGTATCTATTTAGAGAGATTTAATCTGCATTTATACAGATTCCGTTGGTAGTCACCGAATGGTACTGCCAATAAATTCTACCGACAAATCGATCGAATGCGCGTCGAGGAGGCTGCGTGCGAGGAAGAGCAGCGTGTGCTCTTCTCCGCCACTAAATATTCGTAAACAACGGAGTTGCAGAAACACTTCCATCTCGTTTTCCCCGAGGAACACGATGATGCGTGATCACGTACCTTGCACCAGAGCGTTTTCACTCTGCATGCTGCCGAGTCGCTCTTCCACAACACAATTATTCATTTCGTGTAAATTCTTGGTCAACGTGTTAGTATTACGTAAAAACGGTTTTCCCTACCAGAGCGTACCTCATATTAGGGGAGCAAACTATCGCGACCGCGTCCCTCGACACACTGCGTTCTCGGCAACGGCCATATTGACACTAGCCGCTTGATCCAGCCACCGCAAGAGCGCGTCTCTTACACCCCACCGTCGTCGATGGCGCGCACATAGCGAAACGAGAACGCCACTGTTTCTACCCCTTAAACGACCCAATCAGAATTCACCAATTAAGTAATTGCGATACACGCGAGCGCTCGCAAATATGCACACACACCGACTGTTTCCCACAAAATCTTTCTAAGAAATATTATCCGCCAAAATAGTTTGACAGCGGTTGCGGAATACGATTTGCAGACATCTTTTACACCCCTGTTAGCTCAGTTTTATGGTGTCCCACCATATTTCTGAGTCCTCTAAGCCTCAGAAGTCAATGAATATAATATGGAATTCTAATGTCTAACGAAAAGCGGCCAGCAACCACGGTTCTGCGATACAAAACGTAAATTTTGCCTCGATCGAATCGCAAAGACGTTCAGACATCCCCAGCAACGTAATTTAATCAGAACTTATCGATAATAGACGCATTTGTTCACTACAACGACCGTAGTAAAAATTGGTCGAGGGGAAAAGGGGCGATCGTCCGAAATCCGAGGGAAATTTCAAGGATCGCGTAAAAATTGATTCGACGCCGGCACGCGGTGCGAGTACGCTTGCGCGTCGTCATGTGGAAAGCTCGAGTCGCTCTCTCGGTCCTTGTCGGCCGTAGCCGCGATCCTCGGTTCCGGCGGTGTCGCCTACCTCGGGCTCAGTGAGCCGATGTGTGAGCGCCGCGACGCCCAAGAGCAACCCCGACGTCAAGCGTCGCCGACGTGGGTTTTACGATAGGACACGTTCTTATTTCTTTCGTCCTGCTCGTCGTCGTCGTCGTCGCCGCCGCCGCCGTTGTTTCTCGTTCCGCCGCCCTCGTCGTCGTCTTCCTAAGTTGCCCTTTTTTCGATCGGCCATCGTGCGGTGGCGCACGCGGCTAACACATCGCCGATCGGTTTGGTGCGCGACGCTAGGGAGTCAGAGAGAGACAGAGAAACGCGTACGGTACACGTACACACGAACCACCCTTCGCCTGTCCCTCTCTCTTCTTCAACATCGCTCTCGCCCCCTCTCGGTCTTCATCGCCTCGGGTGTTTCTCTCTCCCTCTCTTTCTCTCTCACTCTCTCTATCTCGGCAAACTCGCATGTTCGTTCCCTCGACGCATCATCGTTCCCCGTTGTCGCCGCTGCTGCTGTCCTTCCAATCGGTGGTTCACGTGTTCCCCCGGATGCATTTTGAAACGGGTCTCCTTTGTCCATCGTCTATCGGTCACTCATTTCTCGAGCGAGGTACGTCCATGCAAAAGAAGGGGGATGCTCGAGGACAGGATCGGCGATGAACCAGCGGCACCAAGGCGAATGACATAACGCGCACGGGTACATATTCGCTTAATACGCATCGATTTGTTCTTCGTAGCCTTGCGAGAGGTTCGATCCGTGAAATCCATCGACGACGTTAGAGTTTCGCCGTGAACAGGACCCGCTGCCCTTTTTGACTCCTCGAAACGCGTCGCCACTGTCTTTTCTCGTGTCTATTCGTCCTTGCTCCCTTGTATTTCTGTCCGTTGTCCCGGGTGGAGTTCTCGGAAAACGGAGATACTCGTCGGTACGGATGGTTGGGAAACATGGGGTGACGCTTTGTGAGTACGAGCGAAAAGGGGACGGTGAGAGCGAGAGGAAACGTGCTGTGCCAGAGTGCGCGAGTGAGTAATGAGACAGGGGTAGGGTGGTACCAAACGGAAGAAGGGGTACGAGGTTGGTTTGTATGGGACAGAAAGGGTGCATGACACGGGTGAACGAGGACAGCGACGCGACGACGCTTTTTTACCAGAGCTTACTCGTCTAACTTTCAAGGAGAGATCGTCGGTCACAATGTCTCGAATTTCGAATCGGACAATCGATCGACGAGTGCGCATGGATTAGCGTTTGAAGAGCATTCGGTGAATTACTAATTAGCACCCCGCGTTCGAATCGAAGAACGATCGACGATAACCAGCTTATTTCTTTCCTGCTTCGCATTGTGGCCTCGAGCACGTAGCTAGTCGGTCACAATGTCGAGTAAGGTTTTGATTCAGGTCTGACCTGTTGATTCTGCAGAAAACGGTTGTCGTTATGCGAGGCATGCACGTTTAGTAATTTACCTGATGCTATCAATCGGAGGGGTATGCATGCTGTACATACATATAGCTGCTGTCGTACACGGTTTATATACATCAGTATGCTTAAGCCTGGTTCGACCACGAGAGACACGCTTAGTTTTATCGAACCGGGCAGGATGTATACTATAATTAAATGTTTTTAGTCCATTAGCATCTCCCGTTAATTAGTAGTTACCGTACACGGCCTTTTACGAGAAACCACTTTACGTATTAAAAAAGAAATGTTCGATATTTTCTACTTCTTCGCGTCGACGTACAATAATGGGATCCGGTAAAATCGTGGAATGAAGCTCCACGTAATTATACTCTAATCCGGAGTCGTGAAATACAGAATTTTCCTCGTTAATATTTAAATTCCGAATGCCCGTTCTATTCTTATCGTAGCATTAAAAAACACGAGGAAAATGCGTCTTCGGAAGCTCAAGGCTGTAAGCTTACGAGCTATTTTTAGAACAAATACGTCTGTTGCTCTGTGGTCGATTTACAAGTTTTGCTTCAGGTTCGTACAGGTACTTGCATGCTTTAAAAAAATCTCGAATATGTCAGCGTGAATAGAAATCTGGTTAAAACCGTATGAATTAATTGCTTCAATAAACGGTTGAAACGCTACCATCCCACGAAATACTATTATCCGACTACGCAATACCTTAATTACCTTGAATAGCTCCTACCCAAGAGCTCGCGATAATCGGTTAATACGATATGACGCGATATAAATTCCTGTTGATCGCCAGGTAGACAATGAACGGTTCTTTTCATCTTCCAAATGAGCGAGTTTCAGCAGTAGATTAAATGGTATGTACGTGGCTTGCATGCGGGAATGAAGACGCGCGATAAAACACGCGAGGAATCTCGTTGAACTTCTTCTTATTCACTATCGACATAGCTAGTGTTCGAACCAGTGAACCGATTGGTCACCCGTTCCTATCTCGTTTGTGACAGGAACATTGCCACGGAGGGAATTGAAACTCGTAATTCTGTGCCACGGGATTAACGCGTAAACGATGAAAGCTCGTTGAAATCTAAATTCGTGGATAGAAGAGAAATTTCGTTGCCGGACGTACATCTGTATGGTGAGTCCTCCAAAAATTGTTGTTGGTATCGATGTTGTCGCTTTAGAGTTAGTCGTTGTTAGAAATTAAGAATTATCGTTATTCGTTAGCGAGAGAAGGTGTCGGTGTTTATTGTTCGTGTTCGTTGTCGAATAGAAAAATGATCTGCATGCATCGATGTTCTCTTCGTTTTTGCCCGTTTCAGTGGAGAACTCGTTCTACGGTGAATGACATTGTCAAATGCGGTGGAAGCCGGTCGATACAGCGTAATCGATTGATCCGCAACGTGTTTCCGTACACTTTGCCGCGGTTTGTAATTCATTTATCAGCGGCAAAGGTTTGCAAATATTGTATATAGCACCCACGCGGGCAGACTTTGTTTCGTAACAAATTTGTCGCAACGTTTGGTACTTAATGCACGCTTTATCGGTTTAGCGAGCTTCGCAATCAAATTCGGATTGTATATATTTCGCTTTCTATGTATGCTGTCATATTCTCGTCATTCGGACGACTGTTCAATTAAGAGGAAGCAGAGTTTTATCTCCTCGCGTCGCGAACGTCGACCCGAGGATAGAATAATTTTTCGCGTAAAATGACTAAGGCGATCGACGCCCACTTCCAAGTTCCTTGGAGAGTTGTTAACACAGTTCGATCGTTCAGGATCCGTAACGTTTAGAACTGTTAAAAGCTCGCAGATAACTTTCAGGATGAAACTTTTTACAACGCTGGAGTGGCTCGAGTTTACGAATAACAAACGTCGTACAGTCGTTATAAATTGCGGTAACGGTTACCGAAGTTCGAAACTTTGGATACTTTCAACTATACTACGACAGTTCATTACGCGAGGAGACAATGACGTACAAAATATAGACTGTCGCGTTTCAAATAAAAAGACGAGTAACGACCGCGTGTCGAATAACTAAAATACTTAAGGGAGAAGAGTAGACACTATTGAAAGTCGATTGTACAAACTCGGTAGGCCTCGCCACGTTCTTCGACACTGCATATAATTACACATACTACTTCGTCGTGTTAAATTGATTCCCGAACTTCGCAGACAGCGATAGTCATTCGGCAGATACGAATAAAGCGAATATTGATTTTGAATCTAACCCCACAGTTGTCTCGCAATTTCTAAAACGTTTCCAATTCCACTTCCTACTTCGTCGGGTAATAAAACTTGGCTAGCAATTACGCAAAGGGATTCCCTTTTTATGTTCAATGTTCGTAAGGTATCGGGCTGGAGCTTTATTTCATCCCGGCTATTGATCACTCGAACGTATAGTGTCCATTGTAATACGGTAGAGATCAAAGGAAATGATAGGCGTTCAAGCAAAAGCTGATTACATTTCTGCGCTTTCATCTGAGATGCTTGATTAATAAACGGAGTGTGTAATACCTCTCCCGTGGCCGGATTTATCGAAAACTGGTTAACTGCCACGGAAACTAATATAATAATTATTACACACCGAAATTATTAGGAAGAATTACGAGGAACGATTCGGTTACGAAACACGTTTATATAATAAATTCTGAGTAATATTAAACCGATGAGATTTTGTATGGGTTTTGTTCTTGTCCCAGTATAAAGTTTCTGATCGCCTCACATCTCGCGAGACCCGCTTCTTTGTATTTTTTAAGTCAACCCGTATTCAAATGCCACGCCATGACATAAAGGGCTATAGACATCTGAGCCCCGCGTGAGCTACGTAAATGGATACGGATTCCTCGACTTCACGTCGGTTTTACCGAGGTAACGACAGAATGTGTCAGTGCGTTCGTACCTCGTTCGCTTCATTACTTTTCACTCTTCATTAAATATATGTCGAATACACGAATTCGTTAAACCGGTCGCTGGTAAATGGCCAATCGTTCGAATTAAATGTCGGCTTCATACGCTGTTTCGTCTGTATATAACTTCTGTCTCATGCCAATATCGAACTAATTGCTAATGATTAAACTGATTGCTAATGGTAAATTCTCTTCATGCATATCTCCCCGTAGTAAATAAAAATGCATTGGTTTGAACCGAACGTGAGGTTCATACTAGCTTATATACTAATTATAATAATTATAGTACTAACTAAATAGCTATAGAAATTCTATGAAAAACTCACCATTTTTAAAGGCCGCGCCAGGCAAATCCGGTCGCACGTGGTCCATCAGCGAGCGATCTAACCTCAAATGCGCACTTCACATATCTACACGTTGTACACATACACAGTACACGTACATACACGATGATAAATCGGCCGCTGCAGTCGATATTTGTTTGGGCTAGCAACCGCTTCACTCTCTAAATATTCACCGACAATCGTTGCTCTTTCACATGGCACCGATCCGCCGGGAACCGTTTTCATTCGTAAAATCACTTTCCCGTCCACGGTTATTTCGGGCGTCATTTTGGCCACCTTTCAGAGATCCGCGAGCACGCTTCGTTATTGGTTTAGTCGCGAGGAAAGATTCTTTAAAGAGTTCCGTTCGAAGGACGTTCGCCGCTTAAAGGCGATAGAACCGAATAGCCACCGCGATCCACCTCGGAGAATCCGCGTACGACTTTCGCGAGCTTCCTTCATTCTTCCGTTTCGCCGACGCGATCGGAACTCTTTATCGCCCGTATAACAATCGATAAGATCCACTCCCAATGACGGCGGTGCTTCTTGAACGAGAGGTTAGGTACCGTCGTGACTGCAATTTTGTTGCCGCGTGAATCCGGAAACGAAGGCCACGGTTTCTGCGTGAAAGCGTAACGCGCCAGCCGAGGTTGCATGACGTGGAACGAAAATCCAGGAACATCCGAGAGTCCGTGACAATGACCAACCGATCGAACGCTTCGCTGTTCATCTCGCGAGCAACACTACTTTAATAATTGACTCGCGACGGTCGCGACTCGCGCCCAGGGCCACTAATACCAAGGACCAGACTGCGTGTAACCATTTACGTATGAACTCGATCACTGCTTTTGTCACGACGCGACTCGACGGTTCGTTTTCTCTTCTTTTTTTTTTCACGAACGATCCAACGTTCGAGCGTCACTATCCGTTAGTCACTGGTCCCAAACAAGTGCAACGCGTACAATGATGATACGCCCTCATAACGCTACGACAGTGTTTCTCACGTCCGTTTCACACCGATCGAAAGCTCGTATAGCTCGTAATGAGTAAGGAAAATGGAATGTCTCTGCGGTCATAGCCAGCTTATCTGTTTGCCCAGTCCGTTTCTCGTCCTCCCCTATCTGCAATCAAAAGAATATTGTGTTACGGATTCGTAGCACCGTAAACGTCGTTCCAGTGGAGATGAAATTATGGTGGAAATGGTTCGATATAATCCGTTCGAGATGTAAAGCAGGATTTCTCCTTTCTACTACAGTTAAAACGTAACTAAAATCAGATTACTTGGGGATTATAATAGATTATCATTTTCAGACATTCGTTATTCGTAATTTACATGAGCAAATTTCGTGCACAAAGCGAATCACACGCCAATCCTTCTAACGACCTCGGAAACATGATTTCGCAGTCAGCTTTAAATAATCGCTATTAAAAAACTACGAGAACTCGCGTCTCGCCGATGTTAGCCAGAAAAACAAGTACTTCCATTTGTACGCGGTATCGGTTTCTTTCCCTATTTTCTACGCGGCATCGGTTGCCCGTTTCGCTGTTGTCTATTTTTATCTTACTGCTACTACTGCAACGGAAAATGCTCACGGGCACCGGCGAGGAAAAGGACTGAATGGTACAATTGACTATAAAAGCTAAGCACGCAGGATTATACTCTGGTAAAAATTTTCAGCGTAATCTGGTCTCGATGGAAGCAAGAAAGGCAGAAAGGAAGTTGCACGTCCGGAAATTTCCGGGTCGCGGGGCCAAGGAAGTTTCAACTATTTTCTTCCCAAAGTGCTGCGTCTACACGATAAATCGCGAGATAAAAAATGTCGTCTCTAATAATATAATTAAAAAGATAGACTTCTTGTCTCTCGGTCATCCGATTGTTTTAAGTAATGCATAAACCTGCCATTCAGCGTATTTCATTAAAATTCTATGACAAGACCGAACGATGCTTGACCCCGCAAGGTAATTGATCAGTACGACGCGATGCTCGAGTTCAGAGGACTTCTCCTTCGAGAGGAGCTTTATAAAACGTACTTGACATTTTACCCACGTATTTCTGTAAATATTAATTACGCCACGTTACGCGTTCCGCCTATTAAAATTATTTTACAATAACGTAGACCGGAACTTAGTCAGCCGGAAAAAGTTCCGGATGGTAAGTCTAGAAAAGTACGGTTGTTGGTTCCTTAAGATTTTGTTACGCGATACTGCGTCATGTTTATAGGGAAACAGTCCGTAAGCAGAAGTTTGAATACCAGTTTTAAGCCTCTACCGAGAAAAGTATAATCCTCGCAGATATGCGAGAGACATTTCCCTAAGACCCGACCGGCTTATATCGTTACGTACGTGTCGTTCGCACAGAAGAAACTCTAATAATCCGATGTTTACTAAATTTTCCTTCTTAACTTTTCCCCGAACTGTCATGTACAACCAGGTTCTCGTGTTACCGTTCCATTGGGTTTTTCTCCCCAGCAGCATCCTTCGAGTTCCCCACATGTATTCGCGCATCTTGCTTCCGACGAACACGGGGATAAGTTTCCTCGGCACCGGAGCAACAACAGAGAAGTAGTAAAGACATTTGGCCAAAGCCCAGAGCGGTACGCGTACAATGCGCCTCCGCGTAATAAACAAGCACGCCGCAAGTGCAAGCCGGATGCTTATTGTTTGTAGATACCGTCAAACCTGTTTCGTAGATAACGTACATCCCACGGAAAATTCTTTATCCTATTTCCCAGGAACGTGTCACGTTATTTATTCATCGAACCACCGCCGGCGCGAGACCCGAGGTCAGGGAAACGGAACGTAGAATTTTGAGAAGTAAACATGCTGAAAAAGAAATGTAGAAAATTCATGGGAAATTCATTATTCATAATCGTGACACGTGTCTGGTTCTTTCTCGGGGATAAAGAA